AACTTCGGCAGCAGTGCCCTTCTTGTAAAGTTGTAATTATTTTAATTATTTTTATTTCCAAACTGATTTTAACCAGTTCTATAGTAAGAAAACATTCCAATAGACAACATGCAAAGCTTTTTTTTCAGTTTACAGCAGTATTTATTACACAAAATTTAAGTACTGTAAAGCTTAACATGCCGATCTTGCCCCGGTCTCCCCTATATTTGTAAAAACCATTGCATTGAAAATATGTTTTAAAGGTATATCAGGAGATGATTGTGGCGTTATGTTTGAACGATCGCGGATAAAACGGCTTACTAAAACACTGAAAAACATCTGTCATTTCTAAATTTCTTTAAGATTATTTATTACATATGTTACAGTATAAAATTTTAAAACTTGTTCTATAGATTGCAAGTGCTGTTCCGTATGAAATAATGTGTAAACGTCTTTGTTTGTTAACACGTAAAACGCAGTACAGAAGAAAAACAACACGTTCGCAATAAAAATACAAGTGCAGATATTGAAGTAGAAAGTCGAGAAAATGCAACATGTTCTTTGGCCATATCTAAATTACGTTATTTAGCCCTGTTATTCTAAAGAATTTCAGTCATGTGCAAATGAGTGTACCAGAAAGTCCAAACGTTTTTAATACAATGAATGGAAATAAAATTCGTGATTGTTATGATGAATGATAAGTACTACTATTTAATTTATTTCTTCGTGTTTTTATCAAAAAGCGGTAAACTGCAACGTCAATTTATATTAAAGAATAAAAAAAGTAATGACTCATTGATACTCTTCACACATAAAACGAGACCATAAGTCACCAAAAGTTGGAAAAGCTTGTTGTATATTATCGAATTTTGTAGGAATTACTGAGAAAATGCATTACACATGTAGGCTATGTAGCGACGTTCTCCTTCTTACGTGTTAGTTATAAAACGTCATAGTAGAGAGTTATTCACTCCGGATTGAACACTTACTATGTTCAAAACCTCATGATTCGTACGAATAGTAACACGTAAATAACATGTAATGAAATACATGCATTGGTCAACTGTATTCTCATGAAATAAAGCTCGTTCCGTCGTGTTTCGTGCCCATATTTTTATTTTACACCGGGATAATTCACACAGCTAATGTTCAATCTCAAGTGAATCACCCTACACATTCTATAATTTCTTCTATTACAAGAAATAATTTCAAAATCGGTTTTCTCTCGATTTTTCAGAAACAGGATCATTTCGCCAACAGAAATATAATTAAAAGAGAGACTGTGGAGAATCTTGAAAGCTGGAAAAAATTACTTCGAGTTATCAAAGCTTTGAAACATTTCGAAAACGATTTGTTGAATAGCAACGACGACAAAGAAACAAGACTCGCTGATATTAACGAAGTTATCCAACTGATGGCAGACTTTAGTGGTACGGAAGGGATAACTGTTATTAAACCGAATTTTGCCAGAATGTTTCATTTTAAATTATGTCCATTCGATCCTACCTTATTAAAACAAATACAATCGATGATTAGAGAATTTGAATATTATTCAGACTTTATAAAGAGAACGAAATTTTACGGTATGGATGCAGAAGATTTAGCTAAAATTGGTCTAGTAAACAAATAAAATGTCCGAAAACTAAACTCATTTTGGATAACTTCGATTATGGATNTAAATGTATGATTATGAACTTAAACTCGTCCAACAAAAACTGTGATTTTTTCGTTTCTCTTTGTCCTGTTTTCTTCTACGGTAACATAACTAGGCAAAGCTGATGAATAATTTCTGGACTCAGTGAGATTCAAGAGATTTTCCAAGTTTCTAATTAGAAACAAGTTTAGGGTGTTCTCGGCTGATATTCTGAGATGTCGACCAAAGCCAATAAAGTTATTTCTTGCTCGTTACTTTAGAACATTTATTTTCTTCAATACTTCTCAAAATTTGTTATAACGGACTGAAACCATGCCGAATTTCTATTTTTGTTAAATTTGTAATTAATTCTTAATTTCTTTTTTAATTGTTGTTGTTCGTTTTAGTGTTTATTTGTACGTATTCTAATGAGGTTTCCTTGTTGTCTGCTGTATTAGAGGACGGCACTTATTGATCTAGCGACATCGCCTGTAAATAATAAGTAAATAAAAATAAATAAATAAATATACAATCAGCTCTTTTATATGGTTTTCCGAAATCGATCTATCGTCGACTGTAAATTTTCTGTAAAATTCCTTCCCTATTAACTTCGATACAGTTTACCAATTAAGTGGTAAATTAATTTCCTAATTTCCTTCATTTATTAAACAAATAAATAAAGCTACTTTTTCTTCATCTCAACTCTTACATATTCAGTTTCTGTTTTGGTGCATAAACTGTTTTCTGACAAATAGAAGTTAATTACTTAATATTTTTGCTCTGCTGTCACCTGAAAAATCAGTGTTGTTTAGTAATTTCGGTATATTCTGATATTTTTTATTAAAATCCAGTGTTAACAAGATTTCTTGTGCTAATAATGGACACATAGTACTTACATTATTATTATTTATTATTTTTATTGTATTTAAAGAGATGTTTTTTCCACTCGGGCAACATCATCATGATATATCAAAATCAGCTAATTAATTACGAACAATATTTCTAAAGTGACGTAAATTCAGCTATAATTTATTAAATTCAATTTATTCGTAGATTAAACATATTTTTTCGGACAGCGAGAAGTAAACTTATATCTAAATTTGAAAACAATATGGTTAAATTCAATACAATCTTCAGTATTTTTACTATTTTCATTTTTGGTACGTTGAAAAATCAGAATTTTTTCAGAGTATTTCTATATTTAAAATTGCAAAATTTAATTTTATATTTAAAAAATATTTTTAATAGGGATGATCCTGACGTTGAAGATTGAAGCCACTTCCTTCAAAGATAAAGTAAGTAAGCATAAATACAAATTAGATACTAGTTTATACATTTTGTATGTATGAAAATGTAACTCATAAATGTGTTTTCTTATAAAATATATTCTGTGAATTTTATGTATATTTGTAAAAATCATTGCATTGAAAATATATGTTAAAGGTATATCAGGAGATGATTCTGGCGTTATTTTTGGACGATGGCGGATAAAACGGCTTACTAAAACACGAAAAAACATCTGTCATTTCTAAATTTCTTTAAGATTATTTATTACATATGTTACAGTATAAAATTTTAAAACTAGTTCTATAGATTGCAAGTGCTGTTCCGTATGAGATAATGTGTAAACGTCTTTGTTTGTTAACACATAAAACGCAGTACAGAACAAAACAACACGTTCGCAATAAAAATACAAGTGCAGATATTGAACTAGAAAGTCGAGAAAATGCTATATGTTCTTTGGCCATATCTGGTTTACGTTATTTAGCCCTGTTGTTTTAAACAATTTTAGTCATGTGCAAATGAGTGTATCATAAAATCGAAACGTGTTTAATACAATGAATGAAAATAAAATTCGTGATTGTTATGATGAATGATAAGTACTACTATTTAATTTAATTCCTAGTGTTTTTATCAAAAAGCGATAACCTGCAACATCAATTTATATTAAAGAATAAAAAAGTAATGACTCATTGATACTCTTCACACATAAAACGAGACCATAAGTCACCAAAAGTTGGACAAGCTTGTTGTATATTACCGAATTTTGTAGGAATTACTGAGAAAATGCATTACACATGTAGGTTATGTAGCGACGTTCTCCTTCTTACGTGTTAGTTATAAAACGTAATAATAGAGAGTGATTCACTCCGGATTGAACACTTACTATGTTCAAAACCTCATGATTGGTACGCATAGTAACACGTAAATAACATGTAATGAAACACATTGCATTGGTCAACTGTATTTTCATGAAATAAAGCTCGTTCCGTCGTGTTTCGTGCCCATATTTTTATTTTATACGGGGATAATTTACATAGCAAATGTTCACTCTCAATTGAATCACCCTACACATTCTATAACTTCTTCTATTGCAAAAAATAATTTCAAAATCGGTTTTCTTTCGATTTTTCAGAAACAGGATCATTTCGCCAACAGAAATATAATTAAAAGAGAGACTGTGGAAGATCTTGAAAGTTGGAAAAAATTACTTCGAATTATCAAAGCTTTGAAACATTTCGAAAACGATTTGTTGAATAGAAACGACCACAAAGAAACAAGACTCGCTGATATTAACGAAGTTATCCAACTGATGGCAGACTTTAGTGGTACGGAAGGGATAACTGTTATTAAACCGAATTTTGCCAGAATGTTTCATTTTAAGTTATGTCCATTCGATCCTACCTTATTAAAACAAATACAATCGATGATTAGAGAATTTGAATATTATTCAGACTTTATAAAGAGAACGAAATTTTACGGTATGGATGCAGAAGATTTAGCTAAAATTGGTCTAGTAAACAAATAAAATGTCCGAAAACTAAACTCATTTTGGATAACTTCGTTTGTGGATATTGCATTAAAATTAAATATTTAAATAAAAGTTCTTCATCGCTCTCGTTACAAACTGTTAGAAATAAATCATAAGATGCTGACGTCCCAGCTTTAATTACGAGAAAATTGTATAAGATATGAAATAATAATGATTCTAATAAAATTCTTGTTCGCAAGAAACTAAAACATTTTTAGTAGTACAATTTATAAATAATTTATAAATATCTGAAAAGAAAACCACAACTAGCTAAAACCACTGAACGCCAATAACTGGTGAAGTTTTGTGAAGAGGTCTGACCACGTGAAATTTTCTGGAATTTTTTCACGTGGCTAATACTTAAATAGGTTCCAACGATAGTAAGTCTTTCCGGGAGGTACCCCACTTTTAGCAGATCGCCCAACAGTTGCTTTGCCTTATTTTATCAAATTTCTTCTAATTGTAGTCGTATTTATTTATTTATTTACTTAACTGTTGAGTTTTCTGAGTTTTATTCGCCTGCATAACACGTAAAATAAGAGCCAATTATCCATAGATAGTATTATTAAGACGTATGTGTCAGTCGCCCGTGTTCCCTTGCTTCTCCCAAAAATCGAATTCGAATTTAAACAGAATTTAAATATAAAATGCAGACTGATAACAAATGTCACGATAGATTATGAATAATTATTTTTCTTTATATATCAGAAAACAATTACATAAGTTGAATCAAATTATTTGCTTAACCCTCAACTGATGTTATGAGGTGAAGTTATACCAATGGACTCAAGTGTGACAAAGCGCATAAAACTGAATGCATATATGTAATGTTCTTTTTTAAGTTTAATTATTACTTTTGAAAGTATGGCGCTTTTGGTACAAAAAATTACCTCCCTCAAGATTTAAAAATTTGGACTCAGGACTTCTTGAAACGCCGAGAAATGTAAAAAAATTCAGAGAGTTTTTTCTGTATGTTTAGATTTTAGTTTTAGTGTGGGTGTGTATTGGAGTCTATTTCGTTTAATATTTCAGAATGGGGTAAAGATTAAGAAATGAAATTTGGCGTGGTGGCTTGTATATGAGGGTTGATGACGGTATTAAATTTTGGTGGTGAAAGATAGAAAGGGTGGAGAGATAGAGGGGGGTCATGTATTTCGAAGGAGATAAAAATTAATTAATGACGATTTTATTCGTTATTAACATTTCTACGTTTTATAAAACACCCCTACACTCAAATTAAACTTTTTGCCATTTTATAGTTTTTATAACAAAATCTGATAACTGATAGCACCACACATTATATAAAAGGTTTTTAATTAGTTAATAGAAACTCATAACAGCCGGAAAACTTACGCAACTCTTTGCTAGATTTTTAAATTTGTAAACAATTTGTTACTATCAATCTTGAACAGTTTTTAATTATCAAACTTTTGAATATATTACTAACCGAACTAATAAAAGAGTCCAATGGACAAGTTCAATTTACCGCTCTGAGTGATCTGTGATAGAGTCTATGCAGACGATAAATCCGCTGTTGAATTAATGAGTGTTTTTCTAGATATATCGAATTTTTATAAAAATTGGAAAGACGGGGGAAGGTAAATTGATTTATTTTCAAGTGCATTTTATTAAATTGGAAACTATTTTATTCACTAAAAGCTTTTTCCTGTTGAAGTAAAATTATAATCTGTGCAATGTTTACCTCGATCTTTGAAATCTATATTGGAATTTTGCGATTTGTTTGCAATTTAATAAATATTTTTTAAAAATCTGAACAGTTTCAAGTCAGTTTTTCTGTATTTTTTTATAATATTTTGCCTAAATAGTGCAAAAATTTATATGCTTTAAAACTCTCATGGGCATTAAGAGAGCCTCTTCTTATCAAGTCCATTATGGGTTCAGACAAGCATACACTGGACCTGCCTGATGGCGAAGATTAGGCCCATCACGTCAAGACAGACTATTTCTGAAAATCAGTTAACATATATTACGTAAGAATATTTTCGCGTAATCATGTAAAATCATCCAATTATAATATTAATTTTATTTTATTATGTTAAATAAAGTGACAAGTTTATTTATTTTTGATTTAATCTCATCTATAATAATTAATTATCTTCTTTCGATGTATTTATTAACTTGTAAGAGGGAGTTCAGAACGGTGTTCTACGCTTCTTTCTAAACTTCCTCTTAATAAAGCACATCACTTAATAAATCACAATTAGAGTTATGATACTTACTGGAAATCAGTAAATGAACTTAGAAAAAATTTCATGCTCTCATAGTAGTCCTGATGTATTATCCAAGGACATACAAGGCTTAATAGACAGCTTAGTGCATTTTAAAGATACGAAATTAGACCGTATGTTACATACATTCACAGTAACCAAAAATTTTACATGACCCCTCTATCTCTCCACTTTTTCCATCTTTCACCACCAAAATTTAATACCGTCATCAACCGTCATATACAAGCCACCATGCCAAATTTCATTTATTAATCTTTACCCCATTCTGAGATATTAAACGAAACGAATTCCAACACACACGCACACGCACACTAAAATCGAAACACAGAAAAATTCCATGAATTTTTTTTTTTTTTTTTTTACATTTCTCGGCCTTTCAAGAAGTCCTGAGTCCAGAAATGTAAAAACTTGACGGAGGCAATTTTTCGTGTCGAGCGCCATACTTTCAAAAGTAATAATTAAACTTAAAAAAAACATCACATATATGCATTTAGCTTTATGCGTTTTGTTACACCTGGATCCATTGGACCTACAACACAAAAAGTGTAACTTCACCTCACAACATCAGTTGAGAGTTAAGCAAATAATTTGATTCAACTTATGTAATTGTTTTCTGATATATAAAGAAACATAATTATTCATAATCTCTCGTGACATTTGTTATCGATCTGCATTTTATATTTCAATTCTGTTTAAATTCGAATTCGATTTTTGGGAGAAGCAAGGGAAAACGGGCGACTGACACATACGTCTTAATAATACTTTCTATGGATAATTGGCTCTTATTTTACGTGTTATGCAGGCGAATAAAACTCAGAAAACTCAACGGTTAAGTAAATAAATTCGACTACAATTAGAAGAAATTCTGGTTTAATTGGATTGGATTAATTTGATAAAATAAGGCAAAGCAACTGTTGGGCGATCTGCTAAAAGTGGGGTACCTCCCGGAAAGACTTATTACCATTGGAACCTATTTAAGTATTAGCCACGTGAAAAAATTCCAGAAAATTTCACGTAGTCAGACCTCTTTACAAAACTCCACCAGTTATTGGCGTTCAGTGGTTTTAGCTAGTTGTGGTTTTCTTTTCAGATATTTATAAATTGTACTACGAAAAAAGTTTTAGTTTCTTGCGAAAAATAGTTTTATTGGAATCATTATTATTTCATATCTTATACAATTTTCTCATAATTACAGCTGGGACGTCAGCATTTTATGATTTATTTTTAACAGTTTGTAACGAGAGCGATAATGAACTTTTAAATAAAATATTTAAATTTAATGCATAAAAATATAAATACGACTTTTTTACAAAGTTAAAACTTTGTGTCTGCCTTTTTTTTCGCCGTTTTTACCATCAGCAATCCTTTAAATTAAAAAGTTCATAAAATTACGGAGACGACCTTCCTTTTGAGGCTACTACCTCCACAACAAAATGTAAAAATAGGTAAAGCGTCCTCTGGTGTTCTTGCCACGTTCACAATAATACATTTTAAGTAAAAATAATAAAATTCATGGCCAGAGGACACTTTACCTATTTTTACATTTTCTTGTGGAGATAGTAGCTTCAAAAGGAAGGTCGTCTCCGTAATTTTATGAACTTTTTAAAGGATTGCTGATGGTGAAAACGGCGAAAAAGAAGGACAGATACAAAGTTTTAACTTTGTAAAAAAGTCGTATTTATATTTTTATGTATTAAATATAAATAACGCCGGCCATAAATTTTATTATTTTTACTTAAAATATTTAACTTTAATGCAATATCCATAATCGAAGTTATCCAAAATGAGTTTAGTTTTCGGACATTTTATTTGTTTACTAGACCAATTTTAGCTAAATCTTCTGCATCCATACCGTAAAATTTCGTTCTCTTTATAAAGTCTGAATAATATTCAAATTCTCTAATCATCGATTGTATTTGTTTTAATAAGGTAGGATCGAATGGACATAACTTAAAATGAAACATTCTGGCAAAATTCGGTTTAATAACAGTTATCCCTTCCGTACCACTAAAGTCTGCCATCAGTTGGATAACTTCGTTAATATCAGCGAGTCTTGTTTCTTTGTGGTCGTTGCAACTCAACAAATCGTT